ACGAGTTTTCCCTTTTAGCAACATATTTTGTTGCGTTGCGAAAAATACAATTTCTTGTAGTGACCCAACCCGTATTTCATAAAAAGTCAAAAAGTGCACTTATTTAGATCATCTCAAACCACCCCTTAATCAATTTGTCTCAATTTAAGCAATTAGTCTTCATCCACCGACGTTCAAAGAAGTCTATTATTTAAGCAATTAGCCTCATAGAAAAATGCTTGGTATGGCAACACAAAGATTTCGATGCAAGATACTAAAACTCAAAATTGCTCACATAGTACTCCGAGCCAAAACAAAGCAAAATAGCTAGAAAATATGCATGCTCCTAACTAATGCAATATAACTAAACGCAACGCACACATTATGTAATTTATAGGCTCGGCTATGAGTATGGCATATGATTCCATTCAAGACATACGATAAAGCACGTATTCAAGCAATGAATTTGAACATTGATATTGGGTTAGTATGATAAGCCAAACCTTAGATGCATGCAAGACAATGGATGCAAAGCATAAGAATGTTAATTTGAAAAATGATGTTTTATACTAACCATCGTAAGCAAATAAGTAAGAGGAAGAAAAACGTGGAGTTGGAAGACATACAACTTATTACATATTGGCCCTCACATAAGAGGGTGCGAAGTCCGAATTAAACTAATTATTACAAAATCGAATGAATAAATAAGCAAAAAATTAACTAGCTAGCTACTCTATTACAACAAGGATAATAATGAGAAATAAACTAGCTATCTAAGATAACTAGCTATAACAATTACAAATAATAATAATAATAATAATAATAATAATAATAATAATAACAACAATTACAACAATACTCGGAGCATTAATTTACAACATTGATGTAAGCAAGGATGCACAAGGGTTGCATGCACAATGTTCAAGAACTGCTCTGTCAGCCTAGGCCTGCCCTGTTTCACCTTCAGCCACTGCCCTCTGTTTTTTGCAAAACACACTGCTGACCAAACATTGATGGCCGATCCCCAATAAAGCCCGGCCGGGCCCAAATAAGGTCGGTCGTGCCTTAATTTTATGCAAAATCCTGTTTTGTGCTCTAAGGTGAAAACAGGGCAGACAGAGTTATTCTGAACTATGTTTGTCCCTCTCACACTTCTCTGTCATGGGAAAACCTCAAGAGAAGGTTGGAATCGTTTCCAAAACCATCATCGAGCAAGTTGATTGCTTGATGCTTTCGGACGCGATTTTGGCCAAAAAATCAATAAATGTAATGAACAACAACCAGCCCTCTCACCTATCATGGAATGAACTCAAAGAGAGAGGTATAGAGACACTTCAAGGTGCATCAAAACATCATGAATTGATGTGCGACGATTCTTGACACGATAGACTCAACATAACATCCTACCAAACCCAACTATTCTAATTCTTTTTCTTTATGTCGGTTTCATTGATTTTAGGCCAATTTTATTAGTCCTTGTCATTCTTTAATCAATTTGTCCAAAGTGATGATTAAGTCCACTAAATGAGAGAAGAAGTCAAATGTGTCTAAGCATGAAAGAGAGACCATGCAATTGACGATGAACCTCCGTAGAGATTAACTCATTGAGCATAGTTCTCTTTCTCATGCTTTGAATAACTATCAATCGGTTGAAGTAACTCTCAAACAAAAGAAACAAGAAAAAGGGGGAGGTTACAAAAATGGTTATGAGAGATTGATTATTTAAAATGAAACTCTTCGTATGAAAACTAAGTAAATAAAGCTATCAACTCAAATGACTCGGTGTCTAAGGCCTAAACAACCAAAGCCATGAGGATTTACAACACAAAAAGTATGATATTCAAAGCATAAACTATTTAAATGGATTAAACAGCCCATAACAGCCCCTAAAATGTACAAAAAACAGTAGCTAAAGCAAGAGAAAGTAAGTAAAAAAAGAGTTGAGAAAAAGCTATAGAACAAAGCCTAAGGAGGGGCGGCTAACCCCTCCATTTTTTTGTAAGTTTAAATCACATATTTCATCCCCAAAACAATCCAAGCATAGTCCCAAAACAGGCAAAACAGCCCAAAATAGTGGCTAAAAGTGTGTTTAAAGAGCACTAAAAGATAGACAAAAGCACGAGAAATAACACTAGTAAGCAAAATCAAGGAGAGGTAGCTAACCCCTCCACTTTTGAGACCTTTAAACCATGTTTTTCAGCCTTTTTAAACTCTGAAAATCAGCATGTAAACCAAAGAAAAAAGTGGGAAAACAAGGGGTATGAGCTATGGGATAAGGTGCAAGAAAGGTTGTTAAACCTCTCTACCATTGGTAGCCCTTTAACCCCAAGTTTCAATACTTGGAATGGATCCAAAACAGTGTATAAACACAAGAAAAAAATAGAAAAAGATGGAAATGAAAGTAAGGAAAAATGTGACAAGCTTATACTTCTTGAAGAAAGAAAGTTTTGGTTAAACAAACTTGATTCCAAAGCACCCTCAAGTTTATGAAATATGGTTTGAAACTCTAGTAAAAAGCTTCAAAGACAAGCTCCAATGGTGTATGTATTGTGTATGTATAGCTAAAGAAGGTTTGAGGGTCAAAGGAGGAAGGAAGATGGAATGAGGTCTATTTAGCTCTTCAAAGTTTTTGAAAATTTTGCTAACCTTGAATTCTGGATAAAGAGGCCATATTTATAGAATTTGAGCCAAAATGGTCAAAAATATCTTCAAAAATGGACAGCTGGGGGGCTCCCGCCCAGAACAGTGTTTCTCGCTACTAAGGCACGGCTGGCCCTCAGTAGCCACAGTTGGGCCTTAATGTGTTCCCCTGCTTTTCTACTGCAAACTCAGCATTGGGTGGCACAATGTGTAAAAATGGATTTCTTGGATATAATTGGTGGAAATATGGGAGGTTTGGTATTGTTTCGGAGCTTAAACATGGCCTCTTCATTAAGACCTCGAACCACACACAACACCACTTTTATCATCAAGTGTACCGGGCAAAGCGCTCGTGTCACGACCCGGTCCCCGTACCCAAGGGTTAAGCATCGTGATGGCCAGTAACTGAAGTTACCTCCGGCCAAATCTTAAACAAATAAATAAATGCGAGCGGAAAAATATTTAAGTGAGGGTACAAAAAGAATCATTGGAGCTTCTATTTAATTACATTGTCAAAGTTGAACTGTGTCTGCAAAGTGCTTTGTGCCTACCCCACACGCTGGTCCTGACATGTCATCTAAAAGTAGTAAACAACTATAAGCACATGGCAGAGTGAGAAATATTATACTAAGAGCATAAGGGCATAAAATTCACCATGGATAACTATTGGCTAAAAAGAGTTTGATATTAAAATATATAACATATAATACAGAAATCATTTGACCGAAATTACGTAAACAACTATAACTACGGTACAGAACAGAACATGGGTCGCTAGAGTGACAATTAGAACAGGGGTCAATGGATCCATGTCAAACAGGGGACCACCACAAGGTGGTCAAACAGGGGTCACTAGAGTGACAATCAAAACAGGAGTCAATAGATCCATGGCAAATAAGGGACCACAAAGTGGTCAAACAGGGGGCCAATGGTTATTTAAGTCCCCCAAGGCGTGGGACTCCCGTGGTGATACTTACAAAACATAATTGTATATAAGGTCATAATCAAATATTCTTTAAAATATAAATAAGCATATCCATGAGTTTCATTTTCACAAATAGGGTTCAAAAAACAATCCACGTAACTGAAATAATAATTTGGTTTATAATAATTTATAAAACGTATCTTGTATAAAATAAATAATGGTAAGTCAAAACATAAGTAAAATATATTTTGATAACTCAAGGTATAATATAACTCACCTTAACTTTAATACATCACTCTTTCTTTCCACCACCAAAGACCCTTTCAACTTTCATTATTTTTTTTCTCTTTTCTTCCTTTATTTCTCTCATTTTCTTTCTTTTCTTCTTTTCCTTCTTCTCATCACCCAGCGAATCCTCTCTTTTATAGAGAGGGAGCCGTGGCCACCAAGCCAAGGTGCCACGTGTCACCTTTCTATTAATCTCCATTAATTCAAATTTATCCAAACTTAGCTTAATTATTTATTTATACTTTTGACCCCTAATTTTTTTTAATAATTATATTATTTTATAAAATAATAATATATAATAAATTATATATTTTTCCTAACTGTAATTAAATAATATTAGTATAAATTTTACAGAATAATTAAAAATCTATGTTGTTATAATCTTCACTCCTTTTAAGATTTCGTCCTCGAAATTTGTTACATGTGCAAACTATCCGCTGCGCACTCTGATAAATATATATTAGATGATTAATCTGATAGAAAATATTACCTCTAAAAAAAATTTTACCAAAAATAACTCACTGTCTAGTTGTCAAAAATTAGTTTGGGCCAAAATGAGAAATAATGGATGACCTTAAAAACTCTTCATTCGTTTTGTTGACGATAAAAATAAATAAAAAATAAATGAGAACATACTGACAGAATCATATGCAAGAGTTGAAAAAAATTTGAGATGAACTTTTCATTGATAGTTTCAAAATTAGTATCTTTATAATCTCAAAACATCAAAATAAATTTTTTTTTTGAATACTGAACTGAAAATTATATATATATTTAATTATATTATAATTTTGGTAGGTGCTTGAGCCCGACATCCTTTTTTTTCTTTTCCTTCTTTTGCTACAACAAATATAAATTATATCTAATATCCTTCACAAATTATGTTAAAAAAAAATTATTAATATATATATATAATCATATAAAATTTTAATATAATTAAATCGACTAACAAAATATAACATTTAGGGACTAATTACCCGCTATCCTACTTCTTAAATGTGCGTGTGTTCTATGCTCCAATGATGAATTTTTTTTTTTATAAACCATTGCTCTGATACCACTTGTCATGACCCGGTCCCCATACCCAAGGGTTAAGCATCGTGATGGCCAGTAACTGAAGTTACCTCCGGCCAAATCTTAAACAAATAAATAAACGCAAGCGGAAAAATATTTAAATGAGGGTACTAAAATAATCATTAGAGCTTCTATTTAATTACATTGTCAAAGCTGAACTATGTCTGCAAAGTGCTTTGTGCCTACCCCACACGCTGGTCCTGACATGTCACCTGAAAGTGGTAAGCAATTATAAGCACATGGCAGAGTGAAAAGTATTATACTAAGAGCATAAGGGCATAAAATTCACCATGGATAATTATTGGCTAAAAAGAGCTTGATATTAAAATACATAACATATAATACAGAAATCATTTGACCGAAATTACGTAAACAACTATAACTACGGTACAGAACAGAACATGGGTCACTAGAGTGACAATTAGAATAGGGGTCAATGGATCCATGACAAACAGGGGACCACAAAATAGTCAAACAGGGGTCACTAGAGTGACAATCAGAACAGGGGTCAATAGATCCATGACAAACAAGGGACCACAAAGTGGTCAAACAGAGGCCAATGGTTATTTAAGTCCCCCAAGGCGTGGGACTCCCGTGGTGATACTTACAAAACATAATTATATATAAGGTCATAGTCAAATATTCTTCAAAATATAAACAAGCATATCCATGAGTTTCATTTTCATAAATAGGGTTAAAAAAAAAATCCACGTAACTGAAATATTTATATAATTTATAATAGTTTATAAAACATAACTTTTATAAAATAGATTTTGGTAAGTCAAAAACATACGTAAAATATATAAAGGTAACTCAAGATATAAAATAATTCACATTAATTTTAATACCTCATCCTTTCTTTTCACCACCAAAGACCCCTTCAGCTTTCTTCCTTTCTTTTCTCTTTTCTTCCTTTCTTTCTCTCATTTTTTTTCTTTTCTTCTTTTCCTTCTTTTCTTCACCCAGCGAATCCTCTCTATAACCCCTTCAGCTTTCTTCCTTTCTTCTCTCTTTTCTTCCTTTCTTTCTCTTATTTTTTTTCTTTTCTTCTTTTCCTTCTTTTCTTCACCCAGCGAATCCTCTCTTTTATAGAGAGGGAGTCGGGGCCACCAAGCCAAGGTGCACCACCTGTCACTTTTCTATTAATCTCCATTAATTCAAACTTATTCAAACTTAACTTAATTACTTATTTATACTTTTGACCCCTAATTTTTTTTAATAATTATATTATTTTATAAAATAATAATATATAATAAATTATATATTTTCCCTAACTGTAATTAAATAATATAGTATAAATTTTACAGAATAATTAAGAATCTGAGTTGTTACAACTCGAGCCTTGCGGACAGTTAAAAATGAGGTGTCTACACACTTTAAGTAACCCTCTATTGTCATGGATCCACTAACCCTCTGAATTCTAGTGTGAAGCAAAGTGTTGTGCAGAACTAAGTGCTACACTATTGTGGAAGTTACCTCTAGAATTCGTGCGAGCCACCTCTTGAATCCATACTTCTATTATGTTCTTTGGTATGGAGTAAAATGTTGTGTAGGGCAAAGTGCTACACTATTGTGGGAGCCACCTCTAGAATTCGTACGAGTCACCTCTTAAATCCATACATCTTTTATGTTCTATTCTGCTATGGTATGGAGCAAAGTATTGTGCAGAGCTAAGTGCTACACTATTGTCAGGGCCACTTTTAGAATTCGTACAAGCAACCTCTTGAATCCATACATTTGTCTGTTGTGTACCGTAGTTATGATTGTTTGCTTATATGATTTCCACATTATGCTTATGTTATGTAAAAGCATTTATGTATTTTTCTTACCGAACAAATCTCTGTTTAGCCAAATAATTATCCATGGTGATTTTTAAACCCTTATATTCTCAGTATAATATTTCTCACTATGACATGTGCTTATAGTTGTTAACCACTTATAGGTCATGTGTTAGGACCAATGCATGTGGTAGGCGCACGACACTTTGTAGTCATAGTTCAACTCTAGCAATGTAAATATATAGAAGCTCTAATGTATATGTTTTTAATTAAATCAGTTTTAGGTACCCTTTTATTTTATTCTGCTATACTATTAATTTGTTATGCCTTCAGTTATTATCTTGTTGCGACGCTAAATCTCCGGATACTGAGTTTGGGTCATTACAAGTTCTCTATTCTCTATCTCTCTCTCTAAAAACCAAATGCTTATGCAGTTGTTGTTTGAAAATCAACCACAAATGTTGTAATAGTAGTTGGATTTGGGTTCTTTACAAAAAGCTTCCTTAACACCACCACCAATTCCGATGATCCCAACATTGAAAAAGATGTTCGGCGCTATCTCTGGCGTCTCTGACATCGCCAAAGCCAACTTCTCCCCTGACGAAGTTGTTCATCACCTCAATTCACTTGTCTCCAGATTGCAAAGTCTCAAAAGAAAGGTATATATATTATATTGTATCCCTACGAAACCCTAACCTCTTTTGCTTGTTTGCTCTAATAATTACTCCTTTTTGGGAACTAGATTTAGATTGTGTAATTTTTCTGGAAATTGAAGCAAATAAAATTATAACCAAATTCAACATTGAATTTCGAGTTGATTCGCATTAGGTTTTCGATTTCAATTTGTGATTTGGAGATCGCATTTTTGTAATTTTGTTGAGTTTTTATTTTTGAAGCTTTATTCAAGTTGATTTCGAGTTGATTTGCAATAGAGGAGTTCATTGTTCATTGATTTCTAGTTATTTTGGCCAAAGAAAATCGCAAGGGAAAGTGTTTTGATTTGGCTAGGAAAATCAACATGACAAGAGGAAGAAAATCAAATTTCTCTGGCTATCACACAGAGAAATTTATCCCAGCCTTTCAAAACGTTCATTGTAAAGATAGAAAAATCCCATGATAGAGAAAATCAACATGTCAGAGAAAATTACACACATCAATATTGAGAAAATCAACTAGTTTGAAGAAAATTTCACACAACTAGTTTGAAGAGTAAGCTCAAAAGAGGAGAGTAGTAAGTAAATTTCAGAGAAAATCAACAGGCACAAGGGGAATTCTGGAGAAATTCCATATCTCAAGGGGATATCTTAATGCCAGAGAAATTGTAGAAAAATTTAGCATGCCAAAAAAATTTCATTTTTGCAATTTCTCTTTCTATCACACACAAATCTAGAAGTCTAATGTGGTCAGAGAAATTTCAAATGCCAAAGAAAATTTCATTCACACACACACACACACACACACACACACACACACACACACAACTAGCTTAAAGAAGAAGCTTAAAAGATGAGTAGTAAGTAAATTCCAAAGAAAATCAACAGGCACAAGAAGAATTCCAGAGAATTTTCATATCTCAAGGGAATATATTAATGCCAGAGAAATTGCAGAGAAAATCAACATACCAGAGAAATTTTATTTTTAGAAATGTCTTTGGCTATCACATACAAATCTGGCCAAGGTTTTAGGCAAACAAAATCAACTTATCGAAAGATAAAGCTTTCACAAAATTCGTTAAAATGACAGAAAAATTAACTTATCAAAACACAGAGAAAAATTTAAAATATAGAAAAAATTAGAAAAATTAAGCAAACCAAAGAAATTTCAATCCAGAGAAATTTCAACACGCAGAATCTGTGTTTTGAAATTTTTCTGGATTGAAATTTCTCTGAAAAAATGTTAAGGGACCCCAATCACTATGAAAATATTACATGTCATTTATCCTATAAAATCTTAATAACAAGAACTTTAAAAAAAGAATTACCCTAAACATAATAAAAAAATCTTTTGAGTTATAATCAAAATAATAATCATAATGAGTTATAACTAATATCACAATATGTCATAATTAAATATCACAAAGATCATAACCGAGATATATGATACATACTCTAAAATAAGGTGTGTATTATAAAATTTCCAATAAATAATCACAGTTTTCTTCCTCCGCTTTTATTTATTTTGATATAAAAATGGTTAATTAGTCTGGATGTGAATTGAATTGATCAGATTTGTTGACCTGTCAATTTCATTTTTTTTTATTTTTAGGTTTTTTATTTTATTTTTTTAGAATCATGAAACACTATTATTATAACTTATAATAAACGAAGTCTTGAAATCAAATTTAAAATGATATACATTGTTTTACTATCTAGTGCAAGTTGGGTGTAACCTAATCTATATGTACCCATGTTGGGCAAAAAAAATAAACAAATAAAATAAAATAATCTATACGTACGTGTGCGGTGGTTCTATTTATTTAAGTGGTGATGTAATTTAATGATATATCTACCATTCAATCAATTTTAACTGCACATAATTTTTTTGTTTTTTTTTTTTTTTTAAGGTTATGATATTGCCAAATAAAAAATGACTAGAAAAGTAATATATTATGAAATCAATAACAATTATTTTTCTTTGTCCTAATCTATCGATCAAAATTTTTAATATCTATAGTTTTTTCTAATAATTTGATTATTGTTTCTCTTTTCCAATCAATAATTTAAATGTCACTTGGACATTAATCATCTATGTATATTATATATTAAGAAAAGTAAGCTTTTAATTTTAAGAGTTGTAGGGTCTAACCTGATCTATATGTACCTATGTTGGATAAAAATAAAAATAAAAATCTATATGTACATGTGTGGTGGTTCTATTTATTTAGACGATGAAGCAACTTAATGATATATCTTCCATTTAATCAATTTCAACTGCACACAAATCAGGTTTTTTTATTTTATTTTTAGGATTATGATATTACCATATAAAAAATGACTAGAAGAGTAATATATTGTGAAGTCAATAATAATTATTTTTTCTTTGTCCTAATCTATCAATCAAAACTTTTAATATCTATAAATTTTTCTAATAATTTGACTACTGTTTCTCTTTTCCAATCAATAATTTAAATGTCACTTGGACATTAATCATCTATCGATACTATATATTAAGAAAAATAAGTTTTAATTTTAAGAGCTCTAGGAGTTTCAAAACTCCAATTCAATTATGTTGATTTTTGGTTTTTTTTTTTTTTAAAATAATCATTGGCTACTAAAAATTGAAATTTGAAATTGTAATCAACAAAGAATCTATTGAATTCATCTATCATTTAGGGATTTAAATTTTAAAATACACATGATTTAAGGAATTATTTTCCATAAGTAAAATATACTGTGTTATATATTTTACTTAGCTAATCAACAAGAATTTACATTTAAAAGAAAAAGAAAGAAAAAGAAAGAAAGAAACTTACACAACAAACATCATTCACTGCTTTCACACACTACAAGAAATTACACCTTTGCCGGTCACTTTTGCCAATTAAAAAAATTTTGATCGCAAAAAAATGACATTTGCGGACTAAAGTGTCTGAGCCCACCTGATGAATGTGTTTAAAACTTATAAATTTGGTTTTTGAAAATTTGAAATTACTATGGTAGTTAAATTGTAGTGAACGTGGGTAAGCGAAGGGGACAAGTTTTTTTTATTTATTATTCTTCAATTTACATATGACAGAATCTTTAAGAAACCAAATTTAGGTCTCACTTAATATAATAGTGTAAATAATGGGCGGTTGATAGAATGTATATATATGAGTTCACATGTATAGTTGGTGAGATTATTTATCAATTTGTTTTTTATGGGTTGTATGTGCACTGTTGGTAGAGTGTTCATATGAGTTCACATGTGTATAGTTTGCCAGACTATCTACCAATTTATTTTGGAAAATGATATAAACTCTAAATAAGTTATCAAATTTTTTATCAAATCTCTCATATGGGTATAGAATCTACACAAATCACATATGCCCGTACTTATGTAAAAAATTTGATAAAAATTTTAATATAATTTATTTGAAATCTCTACTCTAACTCATTTATTTTTTATAAGTGGTATATGCGCCTTTATTAGGCCCGCAACAGGTTTTACATGTAGAGTTGTGTTGGAAATGGTTGGAAAATTCTGGATAAAATCAGAATTTTTTCTTAAATTTGGTCTATTTTTTAAGTGGGTCCCGTGTGTCGATTTTTGCGGGTCAAAGTTGTAACGCGTTCTATGCCGCGTTGTGATTCACGTGGTATAT